TTTCGAGTCGTGCAGGACCGTTGGAGTAGCGGAAAACATGTGAATACGTCGTTGTGACGGAAGGGTGTTTTACACGGTGGGGGTTGGAGAGTTGAAGCGGCGCTGGAGTGATGGAAAAGGGGCATGTGCGGACACAAGGACACGTAGACGGGTTTCTAGACGGATGACTCACAGTGGGGGGTAGAATGGAGGGGTCAAACACCATGAGATACAGGAAGCTCGAACAGAGGTTCGTGCACATTTTGCTACACAGTGAGAGGATGACGTCAGGGGGATGTGGAGGATGAGGAAACATGTCGCCATGAGGAGCTATACGGCGCCATTTGGCAGGATGCCAGCTTTCGGTACCTGGTTACTTCCAGCAAGGGCGGACGGGCTGTGACCACTGGGGTGACAGGCTTCCGCACGTCTCTCTAAATGGAGGCTGGAGGCATGGTTTTGACCACGGGTGTGACATATTTGCCTGCTTCACCTTAGCTTCACCTTAGGTGATGTGAATTCTGCAGGCTGCTGTCGTACGTGTTCTGCTTAGGGAGCTCATTGTTGCTCTTCTCTCCTCATCGTCGCCGCCCCCCTCCCTGTCCCCCTCATATCCTTCTTGTTCCCCACACCCGCGCCCACTCTGCCCTCCACCATCCCTCGCCCGTACCCTCCCGCATCCCGTCCTCATGTCTTATTCCGGGGAAGAGGAGGGGGCAGAAGATCGGGTCGGGCGAAAAAAGGGGATAGCAAAGGGGGGGGTTGAGAATCAGCTCACGTAGCTGATTTTCCCGGGGCCTCCCGGCGCCGGAGGCGGCTATGTATCGAGGAATGGGCCCCTCGGTGAGGCCGAAACCAGCTACATGCAGCAAATTTTGTAACCCCCCCTTTCCCAATCCCCCCCTTTCGTCGGGCCCGAGAAGAGGAGAGGAATGACAATGCGGACGAGGACAACGAAACGAAGGTCTCGTGGGGGCCTCCTGGGCACTCCTGCGGGCCTCCGGGGAACCTTGCGCGGGCTTCTTGGAAGCTTTTGCGGGCCTCTTGGGGCCATTTCGAGCCGTCTTAGGGCGTCCTTGGCAACTCTAGCGCGCCTTCGGATGCCGTCTTGGGGACTTCTCTGGACCGTCTTGGTGGTTTCTTGCGGCGTTGTAGGGCCGTTTGGGCAGTTTCTTGGGCCGCGTTGAGGCCCTCTTGGGGCTATTTTGGGGACTTACTGGGCCATCTTCGGGCCCTCTTGGGCCGTCTTGGGGCCCTCTTGGCCTGCGGCCCCCCCCTCCCCAACATGTTTGTCGCATCGCATATCCCGTGTCTCGACCATTACATCCAGAAGCGATCACCCGTTTCTTTGGTTCTTGGTCGGGGAAACGTAGCAGCATGCAGTGGGACAACGAGGTGACGGAACCATCAAGCCAAGCTCAGAATTTGCTTGAGAGTTGAATTGCTGAGCCTGCCGCCGAAGTTAGAGGATGATTTGGAGGGCGAAGTGACGTAGGCGGAGGAGGGGCGAGGACGAGGGAGGTGGGAGGAGGATGAGAAGGAGGTTGAGGAGGATGGTGGAGGAAAGGGACGACGCCGACGACGACGGCTCAGTGATAAGAGCGGGTACATGGATGACGAGGAGGGGTGTGAGGAATGGGTGAGCGGATGAAGCCGAGGCGCAGGATGAGGAGGAGAAGCAGGAGGAGGAGGAGAAGGAGGAGGAAGTGGAGAGCGAGGAGGAGGAGGAAGAGGAGCACACCCTGGCCTCTGGGAAAGCATTCGCAGGCGACTCCCAGGCATCTCGTCCAGCTTGCTGGCATCTCGGCTGCACTCTCGAGAAGGTCTGTGGCCACGTCAGGCTCGTGTGGGCGGCATTGCCCGGGGGCGCCGTGGCCCGATTTTGTTCGGGCATTTGGGGGCCAGGCTGGGTGTCTTGGAGCAAGCAAGCGGGCGGGGGTCTTTGGCCGCGTCCGCGGTGCTTTCCGCGTGGGGCCGGGAGCGGTGGCTCTGGGAGCGCGGGTCCTCAAGTTGCACGCCAGGCCCGTCCCTCTACAGGAGGCGTGGTCAGAACCCGTCGACATCTAGCCTGGGGGCGAGTCTTGGACTATGTCTGAATGTTTTTTTTTCTGCATGGTTTGCTTCTGTTCTTCTGTCCGTCCAGAATCCGCCTGTCGGAGGACATGTCCGACCCAACCTTAGGTCCTGGCATCGCTCGGACGTGTGCGTTTTTTCCTCGGCGAGGACCATCGAGTAGCATCCTTGATCGTTTGCCGAGAGAGCCGCGCACGACACCGAACAAAAGCACAGGGAAGGGACGCCCGAGCGATGGCGAGGGTAGGTACGGTCGGGCATTCCGGCTCGGCGCGTCGCGCCGTCGGCTCTGGCGCCCATCGCGCTGCGGCGTGACGCGCTGCCTCCAGAAGAGGGAAAAACACACAGACCTATGGGAAGTGGGGGGGAAGACAAAACCCAAAAAATATGGAAAACTACGGGGAAGTGCTTTTACTGGTGTGAATTTCTTTGTTTGTCCCAGGGCCCCTTCATACCTCCGCGGCCCCGCCCCCGGGCGTCCGCGCCCAGCTCGGAGGGGCACTTGCGTGTGTCGGTCGCGGCCGCCGCCGGCGGCGCGGCGAGCACGGCTCCCGGCCGCGGTGCTGCACGGAGGGGTGCTGCACGGATTGGGCGCCGCGCAATGGGGGGGTCATAAATGGGGGGGTGGCGAGGGTGGTCCGAAAAGGTACCCAAACGGTACCTAAACGAGCCCCCTGGGGCTCTGGAGGGGCCCGAAAGGGGCACGAAAGGGCACCTTTTCTGACCCCCCCATTTGTGACCCCCCATTAAGCCACGCCCGATCGGAGGGGGTCGTTCTTGGGTCTCGGGGGTGGCCTTTCGCAAGTTGCAGTCGACCGTGGCCTCGGGAGCGCGGGTGATTGCTCCAGATTTCGTAAGAAAAGGCAGGGGGTCACAACCCTCCCAGACGAGAGGTTTCAGAGCCCCCCAGACCATCCATGAAAGGGCGGCCCTTTGCCCAGACCCCCCCCAACCCTCCAAGACAGCTCAAATCAGACCCCCCCAGAATGTGACCCCCCGACTTTATTATGGAATCCGGATTAGTAAGTGGCAGGGGGGTCGAACCACCGACATTGCCCTTTGGATGGGAACCCAAGGGGGGCTGCTCAGGCAGCCTCAATGCACAGGCCCCCGAATACAATACCCTCTCTGGGACCTTTCGGGTCCTCGTACGAGCATCTTGGAACACGTCGGCCTAAAATGGAGCGGCGCCGATTAGCGCTGTCTCTCTGGAGCACAAGCAAGCGTCTCTTGGAGCCTTCTTGGGGCACTCTTGGTGCGCTCTTGGGAGCCCTCTGAGCCATATTTGAGTGTTTGTTTGCCTCCCTTGGGCGAATTCGGAGCCATCTTGAGGCTTCAGAGGTCTATCGCAAAACAAACACGACAAGGCGAACCAACATCACCGAACAAGCATTTGCTGTTTCATGAGTTGGGCCGCTCGGGAGGTCTGGGGTCTTCTGGGAGGCTTGTGGGAGGTCACCTTGAGCCATATTGTATTGTCATGCGTCATCTTGGAGGCCGTCTTGGGCCATCCAAGGCCAGTTTTGAGCTACCATGGACCATCTTGGACGGTCTAACGCCTGCCGCGGGCTGTACTGTCCAGGTCCAGGGGGGGGTGGCAGGGGAGGGGCAAGCCCCTCACACCCCCCCTTGACAGAGTGACAGAGTGAAGAAGGGGTGTTGTGTTGAAGAGGACTCGCTCTAAAGCATGGTGTTTCCCCGACCTTGCGGGGGGGGGAACCCCCGGGACATGGCCCCCGCCACGCGACGAACGCCGGCAGAAGTCCGGCGGAAGACGGCGCAAGACGGCGGAAGACGGCCCCATTTCGGCGGACGCGTGTTCGGGCGGCACGGGCGGCCCCAAGATGATCCGCAAGGTGGTCCAAGAAGGCCACGTGCCGCCGACTGAGCGGTCTAGACGGCCCAGGGAGCCCCGAAGACGGTCTGGGAGGCCTCCAAGAGGCTCCCCGGGAGAGCCCCAAGATTCAAACGGTTTTGAAGGTTTTTCGCGTTCTCGCCTGTTCAGGTTACCGACGCTCGAAGACGACCCAAGACACCCCAAAGATCCCCCCAAGACGGTCTAAGAGGCCCCGAAGACAGCGCCCGGATGGTTCAAGACGCTCTCAAGACAGTCCCAGCGGCCTCCAAGACGGCCTCAGAAGGCCCCAGGAACGCTGCAAGAGAGCCCCCAGAGAGGAGACAAGGACCGACATGTCGGGCTCCCCGCGCGAAAAGACTCCCAGGAGGCCCGAAGAGGCCCCCAGGAGGCCCCCAAGAGGCCTCCAAGGGGCCTCGAACAGCCTCGAAGAGGCCTTTATGAACCCCCCCAAAGCCTCCAAGACGGCCCCAGGACCTCCCGAGAGAGCCCCACGATGGCTGGTGACGCCCCGACAAAGCGTCACAGCCCCAAGCGGACAACACGGGAATCAACGTCACGCGCTCTATGGGCATCTTCTTCTTTGCTGTTCTCGTGCTCGAAAGTCACGCCCACTTGTCCTCCAAGAGGTATCCCAAGAGACCCCCAAGAGTCCAAACTGTTTTCGGCTTTCCGGCTTCTTCTTTTTTTTGTTTCCTGTTTTCGGCTTTCCGGCTTCATAACGCTCCAAGGCGGCCAGAGAGACCCCTCATAGTCTCCCAGGAGGGCGCCCAGACGGTCGAAGACGCCCTCAAGACAGCCTAAGACGCCACCCAGACGGCCTAAGACGGCCCCAGGAACGCTTCAGGAACGGCCCCAGAAGGGAGGGCAGGGACCGACATTTCGGGCTCCCCGCCCAAAGAATCCCCAGGAGGTCCCAAGAGGCCCCAAGAAGCCTCCAAGAAGTTTCCCCAGGAAGCCCCAAGAGGCCCCCAAGAGGGCCCAAGACTGGCCTAAGAGAGCCCCGAGATGGTCGGAGACGCCCCAGGGCCCGAAGACTGCCCAGCACGGCTCCAAGATGGTCGGAAACGCCCCAACAAAGTAGTACAGCATCAAACGGACAGCACGGGAACCAACGTAATGCGCCTGAATGCGGCACAGCGTCAAACGAACAACACGGGAATCAGCATTAAGCGCCCTATAGGCATCCTATGTTTTGTTGTCCGTTTCCTCGCAAGTCACGCCCACTTGTTCTCCAAGGTCGGGGTTCGTGACAATATTAGGTTGGAGGTAGAGAATAGTCGAACAAGTGCGTTGCTATTTTGTACGCGGGGATCCTGGAATTGTTGGATCCGCCCTCTCTGGGCAGGAAGCACACCCTTCAGGCGTGGTCTCACCCCTCTCAGCTCCCCGCCACCCCTTAACCTTAACTGCAGGAGATGGGTACTGAAGAGGAATCGCTCTGAATTCACCCAGGCCCAGCGGGTTGATGGGATTCCCTGGGTCTCCGCGTGTTCCGGGCTAACGGCCACGATCCTCGAGTGAATGATGGTGACGAGGAGGACAGGAAGTTTCGGCGGCGCACCCATGGGGCGGGGGAAGTGAGACAGGACAGGCCTTCTCAGAAGGCGGCGGGGCGTCTCAGAAGCCCTCGCGCCCTCGTAGAAGTTTGTTATGTTTTCGGGGCATGCTTACCACACCTCTCAGAAGGCCCGAGGCCTTCCGAG